TGCAAAACTCTGTTAAATGACATAAAGCAACAATACAGAGATGGAATTAACTACAAAGAGTCTCAGAACAACAAAGTAGAAGATGCAGATCACATCACAGAGAAGCAGAGCATCAAACATCCAGACACAAATTTTCATGAAACAACAAAAAAACAACACAAAGATCAAACATTTAGAAAAACACAGAAACGCTCATAATGAAAACTGTAAAAGATAAACAACAAAGTAACAAAAATGAGCAAAATTACACAAAAAACTACCAACAAAATCACAGAATCAGATTTGAAATGACAAAAAAGATAAATGATGTAGACCAGCAGCATTAAAGTGAAGCGTTCGCATGTAAGAGCTCGAGTTTAGCATCCATGTTTGATTCCTCCTCTGCTGTTTTCAGTGAAATCATGAAAAATCACATCAGATAACATATAGATGCCATCTTCACATGTTCAAACATGATTGTGCCTTTATAAGGGATGTGAGGACGAGGTTACCTGGGTACCAGGTGTGTTTATAATCACAAACTGTAGTCAAAAGATGGATGTAGCCTGTCAGAATGAATAAAATGACGTCTCCTTTCCTGCCTCCTTTCCTGCCTCCTTTCCTGCAGGTAATTCGCTTTAATTTCTGATGAATTTTTCAAAAGTAACACGATACCCAAAGACTGCCGCTCAGTTCTCTGGAAGGACCGTGAGCTTCTAGAGAAATCGTTTCCTTGTTCTCAACCTTTTGTTTCTTTTGTTACATCTGTCAATCTTTCGCCACACGACACATTTTCTATTTGTTTTTAACAACTTAAAAATGTTTGTAATGTGAAATGAAACCACAGGAATGATTGTGCTTAAAAACCAAAATGATTTCAAAGGGTTAAATAAAATCTTAAAAATTTATAACCAAATCACAGGGAAAAGAAGAGTCATTTAAAATAATGATTAGTTCCTTGTAACACCCACAGAAACAGAACAGCTGCATAATTAATAACAAAATCGCCACAAAATTACAGAAATGTCCTCAAAATTTTTTTTGTTATGACTGAAATAAAATAGAAAGAGGCTTCGAAATAGCTGCTTCTAAAAGGACAAACACAGGTGGGGTTCAGGGACTCCAGTTAGCTGAAACCACGCTAGCACGCAGCTAGCAGCTAAGGCCACCTGTCAGTTAAAGAGGCCACGCCCCTTTATAACACTTAAAAACTGTTGTTTTGAAGGGGGCGTTATCTGCAGAGCCCAAACTGTTTGTGCATCTGGCTGTAAACATGTTTATTTCTGCTGTAAATGTTTAACATGGGGACTGACTCACTGCTGGAGCCTCTGCTGGACGTCAGAGGAACTGCAGCTTTGGGTACTTGAGGCTTTC